AAACGCTTTACCAATGTATGCTAACAAAGAGTGCTTTATCAGCACGAGCTAACAAAGGTGCTAATCCTTGTAATCGTGTAATAATATGCATATAAAGCCTGCAGATAGCAGAAGGACATTCTTCCTTTCTTTTATTCTCCAAATTGATGTCTTCGAAATTCATCTTGTGGCTTATGTTTATGTTTTTGGAATTAGCTTTATGCATAATTTGTGTTTTGTAATTCTTAATGATTATGCTATGCTAATATTGTTTTATTTATTTGATAGATTCAATTATCCAAATTTGAGATGAAAATAAAGAAAATCTTACAACTCTGTGTGACATTACACAAAATATTTCTAAGAATACAAAAATTTTTCACTTCAATTTATATAAACTTACTCAGGTCCACTAAACATTGGCGTTGTTTGCAATTCAAAATCATAAAATTCGATTGCCAAAAAAATGGTCGGTCTTGTAGTACCAATTTGTGTTAAACTATGAGAGCTTAATACTATTCTTGATAAATGCAACATCATTTCATTTGTTTCCATTTCTTCCTTATTCATCTTAAACATATCAAATATACGCTTAGTAATATATTTTATTTTATCAGTTTATCAAATTTAATAAAATGAAAAGTTGGTAAAATTGAAAATTGATAGCTAAATTATCATTCAATACTCAATTATTATTTATATTTGCAAATTGCAGTAGCAGTACAGCAATAATATGAAGGATAGTTCTTGATGAAAAAAAAAAATTTTTTTCATTTTATGGCTAAGCGCAAAGTATAACTATTTCAGGTTAAATTTGATCAATTAAGTTATGATTAAAATCAAAGTTATAATTTAAAAATCAATCAAGTTATGATTAAAATCAAAGTTATAATTTAAAAATCAATCAAAGTATGATTAAAATCAAAGTTATGATTTAAAAGGAAAATAACGAAAAAAAACATTTCCTAAATTTCTTTACATTAAATTGAATTTATTTAAATCGTTTCACATATATGATGGAAATATTTACGATTAATTTAAATTATTATCACAATAAAATTATTACCGTAACAGATGGAATTGGCATTTGATCATCATATGCAAATGTTTTCAATCGCATTTCTAAGTTTATAATTTCAGCTTCACGTTCACTCAATTTTACAACCAAATCTTTCATTTTATATTCCGAATGTGCTTTTGTTTGTTGCAAATTTTGATTTAACAAAGCTATCTAAAATTAAATTCAAATATTAAAGCATTTATAAAATTTATCTATCAGTAATAAATTAAAAATCTTTTTTTTTTTAAAAAAAAAGAAAAATTGTGAGTATTAAAAAAAAAAAATTTTGCATAATTAATTCAATCTTTTCAATTATTTCATTTCTTATCACTGTATATTTTCGCTAACTGATTTCAAATCAATTCTTCGTGAACTAATTTTTAAATACCGTAATCATTGGGTGAAAAATAATTTTCTAATAATATTATGAAATATTATAAATGGGACAAAAATATCACCAAAAATGCAATCATTCACGTGGGCTAATTAACGCATTTCAAAATTAATTCTTTACAACCTAATCATTAAATAATTTAATTGAGCAAAAAGAAGAATAATATTTTTAAATAAGATAAAATACTATTTAAGAAATAAGAAATTCCACGTATGCTAATTTCTTTGTTTTAGATTAATTCTTTTGTAATTTAATAAATAGTTTAATTGTATGAGAAAAGAATAATACTTATAGATAAAATAAAATGTTACTTAAAAGTGTAAAAATTTGCATATGTCATTTACAAAAATCAAATTTTTTGTTTCCTTTTTTTTTTTCTTACATTTCATATGTTTAAACAATAAATGTTACAATGGCACATTCTATAACAATCATCCATTTGATGAGAATTACACAGAAATTTAATAATTTAATAAATTATAATTAATAATACCTCCTGAAGATGTTGTTCATTGATATTATGTTGAATAAGTAACATATGTCGTACTTTTTCAAGTTCACCATAAATTTCCATATACATTGTCCGCCATCTGAATAGCAGTTGAAAGTATTTAGCTTATTGATTAAGTAAATTATGCTAAATTAAATTAATTCATAAAAATTAAAGAAGAAGAAAATGTGGATGAAACAAAGAAGAAGTAAATTAAACCAAATTATACTTATCAATATTTTCTTGTTGTTTTGTCATTTCATCATCATCTGTTGTCCTTTCAATAATATGCGCTTCAATAATTCGTGTCAAATCTTCATATATTTTTACAAGACTGAAGTCTGTTTTGTTAGATTTCTGAAAAATATACACGCATATTTTTCAATTTATTTTCTTTCTTTTTTTTTCTCAAAATAATCCTTCTGGCCAAGAAATCTCTTCTTGGCTTTACAATCTTCTTGTAACTTTGCCAGAAAATATCATACATAATTGTTACAATTATGATCAAAGAACAAAGAACAAACTTCATTTGTTACAAAATCTTTCATTGTTGTTTTTTCAAATTCATTCTTTTGTTCAGATATTTGACCAATGACCATTTTGTCTCTAATTATTTGACCAGTTTGATTATTCAATCGTTCTTCTAATTCCAACTTTATTTGCATTAAATTTTGATAATTTTCCTTTAATTGAGAATATTTCACAAACAATTCATTCAATTGCTTTTCCATTTCCAATACACGTTGATCATTTGTCGTCGTTTCTCGATCCTTATCTTCGTCCATTGCTAATTGTTCGATTGTTAATGAACTATAATTAGTGAAAGGGAAAAAAAAAATGGATGATATTAGTACGACTAATTTTACTTATCCATTACACGTATATTTTTTGTACATTAGCATAATTAACATTACGTGTTACGTGTATGTATCTATTTGAGTAGTAATTTTTTTTTTTTATAAATATAATCAAACGAATAGTACAGTAATTTGTTTACTTTCTTCAAATATGATATCGTACTTTTTTATCATTTAAAATATTATAAATTTATTTTTTACATAATTCTATTCATTTCTATTTTAATTTTCTCTTAAATAATGAATATTTTGAAGGTTTTAAAAAAACAAAAAGCAACGATTTCATCAATTTTGACAAATTTGATTTAACAAAATTTGAATTTAACAATCATTTAAAGGCAAACTTTTGTACAAGCTTTTCATTTGCTTCATGTAGCATTTTATTCTCTTCTCGTATCATTTCCAATTCTTTTGCCATAATTTCAACATTTTTCAACTGTTTCTCAAACTTTATATCACCAGTAGCATTCATTGATAATTCATCAAATTGTCCCTCATGTTGTTTATTTTGAAATTGTTCCAGCAATTGATCATATTCATCTTTAAGCTTTGCTAATTGCTACAATTTATTGACATATTAGCATAATTAAATTTAAAGCAAGAAAAATGTTAAAATATTATCATGGAATCAAAAAAAAAAAGAATTGGTTAAATATTTTCGGGAAAAAAAAGAAACTCAATATTTTCCATTTTAAAATGTCATTCTTAGCCATTTCCTAATTGAATTAAGATTATTTTAAATTTGTATAAACTAATAAATAGGTAACAATGGTAATGATATATTTAATTAACTGCAATGAAATACTCAAATACCCTTATTAAATTTATTAAATTCAAATATTTAGTGTAAGTTTAAATCAATTATTTCATCTGATTATATATCAAAAACTGAAAAATTTATTAAAACATTTGATGAATGTCAGAGAAAAAAAAAAAAAGAAAGAAAGCATACTTGTTGAACATTATTTAATTTGCATGTTAATAAAGCGAATTCGTCATCTTTTTGTTTCAATTCTCGATTCAATTTGACGAAAAGCGTTTTATCCAGGAGCAATGACTTCCTTAATTATTTCAACTATTTCAAGCTAATTAATTATGAACCCTAATTAGTTGTCAGCTTTAGCCCTCTGCGTTATCAGCTATATTCTCTTTTTTTTCCATCATTTTCTTTTCAAACCATTAATTCATCTCTATTGATTATTGTGATATTTTGCGACTGTACGTCGCATGTAAGTGTATGCCAAATCTTTTGCTTACGACGTTTAACTGTTAAATCAATTATTTCATTTTATCGACTAAAAAAATTGGTTTCTTAAAATTTGAAATTTCTTACTAATGTGACAAACGACGTGCACTGCTCGTAAATAGTTACGAAATGATGTAAATAGCGTATACCTTTTAATTTCGTTTATCCTTACCTGTCGGAAATTTTTGGCACATCTGTTGCTGGTCGTTGTTGAATGGTGACAAGGTGTGACGAAGGACTGGCAGTTTGTTGTTGAGGATGAAGCCTTCGTGGTAAATCTGATTGTGGCCGTCGTACAGATAAACGGGCCTAGCAGGTATTAGGTATTGTTAGCTATTAAAAAATAAAATACAAACAAATACTAGCTTAAAAAAAAAAAAAAATACATTGAAGTGAAAGTATAACAAACCTTTGGGGACGATGAAGATTGTATTGATGCTCCTGGCCTAGCATAGTTTAGAACTTGTTGCTTCAAATTTTTTCAACTATAATTAAAAATTTTGTTCATTTAAATTAATATCATTAATAATGCTAATTAATGACAAGAACACATATCACAATGAAATAATAATCATATGCTAACAACAATAAAAGAAATGACACGTTATTAATGTTACATAAAGGTAAGCATAACATTCATTAACTATTTCAACTGAAAAACTATTCAAACATTTTTTAATGCAAAAACGAAATAATGGAAAGACTGAAATACTAAATTAAATAAAATTTAGAGCAAATTATAAGATACAAAAAAAGAAGTGCTCCTCAATTTAACCTAATAATTATTCCATTTTTGAATAATAATTAGACAAATAATCTTCCAATCTAATCATCTGTCTAATAAATAATAATAATTCGATGGATAATTCAAATCTCTTCAATATATCTCTCTAGAACAATATTAACTTTCATGGTCTAATACTTTGATTCAAATGATAACTTAGCTAGGCTAAATTAGCATATGAACCTAATTATCTTACTAACTTACTTTATTAGTGAGTAATCGATTTTCCTTAATCAATTCATCATAATTTGCTTCATTGCTGCAATCTTTACCATTAACGATCATACGTCGTATTTTTACATTTGACCTGTGTAAATTTTGAGTGTATAGATACGTAACATGTGACATATATTAATTATTTAATTAATTAATTAATTTGACTTACTGTTTCAGTTTACTCTCTAATTCATTGTAACTTCGTTTTAAGCTATGATGTTGTTGATAAAGAACATGATAACGATCTTCCAACTCTTGTCTTGACCATTTCTCAATCGAAGGACGAATGACCATCACTTATCATATTATAATCAATGTATAACCTAAAACTGTATTGTTTTCATCCATAAAGCAATCTGAAAAAATCAATTATGATAAGTCTCATTTCAAATCTTTTTCTTTTTCTCTATTTCTTTTCCCATTATCAGTTCTAATTTTACATTTCAAAAAAAAATAGTAATAGTAATAAATTAATAAAGATAAATAATTTAATAAATAAAACTACGAAGAATTTAATAAATGAGACTGCAAAGAAAATTCCCTTCAACACATTTACACTAACATGCACTAATTAATTAATTAACATTCACTCATGAATTTCTTCTTTTTTTTGATTTTTAAGAATTCAAAATAAAGCAAGACATAAAAAGTGATACCAGAGATTTGATCAGTACGTGTGTCAAACATATATTAGTCATTTCTAACAATCAAAATCATAAATTTTACAAAAAATTTATTCAAGAATTTAATTTTATAATAATAAAACTATTATCAGTCAAATTAAACTATTATCAGTCAAATTAAACTTAATCAACAGTCAA